CCCATGACCTCAACACCCTAACTGATGAACGAAAACATGAGCAACATAGCTCGGAACAACATAACACAGACGCTGAGTCAAAATGCCTAGGCCTGACTGCAAATGTACGTGGAGCACATGCCGACTCAGTGAATAATCCATGTTCATCCCCAAATAGTCGACTCGGGCGGCGTGCGCTCGCCTCTCCCGGCCGACTCACCTGTAGGTTGACTTTGGGCTTGGCGGCTGCGTCCTTGGCGGCCGGACTGGCGCCGCTGGGCGCGCCCGGCGCCACCGACGGCGTCTCCTCGTACTGGCCGACCGGAGGGTACGGGCACGGGTCAACACCAGGCCACAGACGGGGTGAGGCACGCGGAAAAGGCCACTATCATACAATTATACATCGGGGTGACAGTGGGACATCATACACATTTGAACTAACGTTTTTCAACGTCCTCTACCTGCTTATCACCCAAACTGAGTTGAGCGTCTGTGACGCTAGGTTTTCCGCTCCTCTCAGTCCCGTAACAGGACAGTCAGCGCTATGCTCCGGGACCGGTCTCACCTTCTGTACGTAGGGCACGGGGATGGAGCCGGTGTTTCCGACGCTGTTACGCGCCGTCCACCACTGCTCCTCGTCCTTGGAGATGATGGTTAGCACCTCGCCCCTCTTGAAGGGCAGGTCCTCCGCGTCCTGCGTCACCACAGAGAACAGCACCGTGAGCGAACAACAGGCGTCGGAATTACATGGTGACGCTAATTGTCGCTATCCGGCTAATATGTCGTCATTACGTTCAACTTACTAATCACATGATAAATTGCATTCCTCCTCTACGGTTTTTCTATCCAGAATCTTCGCAAGCTAACTAGATAAATCGATCATGTCATTCACTCGTCTTACAGTAAAATTACAGCTACTGTCACTGCAACGCATCACAATCAACGATCCCGCAGCAGCACTCGGCTGCAGCAGCGAACCCTGTCCCAGTATCAGACTCACCCGTCCCTCGAAGTCGTACTTGGCCGTGACCTTCTCTATCCGTTTGGGCGCGGGCCGGACCAGCGGCGTGGTGTCTAGGTAGTGACACTTGTAGAAGGCCAGCAGACTAGCCAGGTCGGGGAACTTCTGGTCGCCGATCCGGTACTGGACCTGTCCGAGGACGCGCTGAATCAACAGGCGGCCGTGGATTGACCGGGACCCAGCAGCCAACACTCACAACAGCCGTGGACGCTGAGCAGCGCACACGAACACAACGTCGCCCGCCCGCAAACAGCAGCTAGAACGTTAGAAGGCGACAAGAATATATGTAATCTAAATGCGTCACATTTACAAAAGAGCTTGTGCCACACCAGCTGTTACCAGAAGACGTTTGTAAAAGCTAATACTGAAAGCAGCGAGTGCGACAAGTTTGATCGATTGTCCCACTCACCTGGTCGTCCTTCTGTATCTTGTTGATGATGTAGTGTGAGACCTTGTTATCCTCGCGGACACAGAGCACATAGTCTCCCTGGATGCTGGTGGAGTCTCTGACGAGGAACACGCCCCCCTCTCGCTCGGACATGAGCAGGTCGGTGGCGTCCTGGCGCGACATCTGACCAAAGTACCAGCTGGAACACACAGCCAGGCCACTCGGTCAGTGCGGCGGCGGTGAGACACCTCAGACCTATCTGACAAACTAGAAGGAAGAAGGCTAATACAAGCCTCATTGAAAAAATTAGCAGGTACATGGTTGTTGTCCCCGACCGATGCCGAGTAGCCGGCCGGCCCGCGTGGCTGCCGAGCCGGGCTCTGCGGCCCCGTGGCGCCCGAGGCGTGTCTGACCTATTGAGGTCGTGCGCGGGGAGCGCGTTGATTGGTCGCTGGTGTCCCGTGCCGCGGGGCACCAGCGAGGTGATCTCGGGAGGGTGAGCCGTAGGCTGGTTTAGTGAGTTATGCTGTCTGGTGGGGGGGGGGGCGGAGTGGAGCTGAATTTTGGAGTTAATTGTGAGAAGTGCCAATAAATCTCCATTGGTTAAACTCAGCGGCTGTGACGAGAAGTGAGAGACGGAAGTGACGGAAGTGCGTGGAGTGACAGTAGGCCACAAACGCGTGTGACTTTGACCCGTCCTACTTCCGGGGACCTCGGCATTTCTCAGCTCATTGGGGTGTGTGAGGGAGGGGGGCGGCCATCGGTGTTTCGCCATCGAAACACCGAGGGCTTAACTCGTTTCCCGTGTTTCGCCATCGACACCGGGAAAAGGAGCCTCTTTCCATACAAGGGGTGCGGCCAGTCGGCTTCGGCCAACCTCGCTATCGAGGCGTCGAAGTATCGATAGATCTGTCTGCTCACGGCGCCCTCGCCACTGAGGATCTCTGATCAGGCAGCGACTGTCGCCTTCCTAACCGATCCTGTCCCAATTTTCGATCTCCTAATCCCCCTCAGCCAGTGACAAAACCAAAGTGTCGCCAGTGCATGTGAGCCAGAGGACATCGTGGCGACATTGGCAGTGCTGAGTTACCTTCATTAAGTGTTTGTCTTTGATGAACTCTCAGCAGTGCCAAAATCACAGCAGCTAATTCATGCCTTCGGCAAATTACTTGTAGAAGTTGATTGAAACTTGAGAGGAAAAGACAGGATCAGAAGAGGGGCCAGACTGGCATAAGCCAGGAGCTCACCTTGATCTGTCATGTGGATCCAGTGTTGCAGCCATGGTTTATACACTCACACTTCCAGATAAGGTACCTGTAACACAAACCCATGGGCTATAGAATTTAGAGACAGTGAGCAATGCTGTGACCACATCTGGTCCCAGTCAATCACAGCTATACACCACTAGCAACAAAGGTTAATATATCATGTTCCCAATTTCTGTCTATCATGACATATTTTGCTTTCCTTGATAGAAACAAGCAAACATTGTCAGTTGTCACAATCTGAGTTAACCTGTTAAACATCCACTCATTTTCAGCCAGTTTGCTTCCCTGGTAGGCATCACTAGACAGCATTTTGCATCTCAATAAGTAAGATCAGATATTCAGTATATCTAATATAACAACGATGAGCAGGAATTGCTTGCATTATCAATTAATAATTAATTTCACTGTTACTGATAAGCAGGTTTACAGTTTTACACTATTTTGGTGGAAAGGTCAAGCAATGGAGTCTGAAACTGGCTCTGTCACCTGTTTTCCCATCCGCCCAAATTTTACCTTAGTATGCACACAATATTTAAATATCTGCACAATACCTACTTAAACAATATTTGGAAATTCTTCTACTAATAAAATGGAATATCTAAGAAAAGTTAATCTTAGATGACTGACTTAGACTAGCCTTAGATGGTTTAGTTCTTGGTTTAGTTATCTATTGTATGTTCAAAATGTGAGCATTAACATTGAACAATTATGTAGCAAAGCCATTGCATTACCACAACAGCATAAAAAGGGAATCCATCTATCAATCAAAATCCAAAGCTCAGGCATCACTTACTTGGTTTCCTATGAAAAATACAAGCTTATAAGTTATTTAAATACTCAATATTGCTAAAATGAAATGAGCCTAGAGAGCAGTGAGCATGATAAAATAGCTTCCACCAAAGGATGTGTATCTATATTGACTTATGGTTTATTTACTAACTTTGTTGCACTTTTGGTAACCTCTTTATGGTTTGAAGAAACTCTAGACCACACATGACCCCATCAAGTCAGGGTAGCAAAACTTACCACCACCTACTTTTAGTTACATCCAGTACAATTACCCATGCAAAAATTACAAATTTAATATATCTCATCCAGAGCAAATGGATTCAAAGCATTATCAATATATTTGAGGTGATGCATTTACAAAAAAGATACCTCAACCTAAGAAATATCTATTAACACTTATTATTATTGAAAGCTTTTGTACCTTATCAAATGTATCTAGATGTAAGTGATATGACACACACTTTTAAATAGTAGGGTTAAGTAGGTAGGTACACTCGGGGGCAGATTGATGTTCCACCACTCCCTACCCATCGGGCTCCCATGGCTCAGCACTGGCTGCTGCCAGTGGCAGCACTGGCAGCACTGGGACTTGCAGGCAGTGCTGAGCAGTGCTGAGGGCAGGCAACACTGGCAGCAGCCAGTGCTGAGCTATGGGAGCCCGATAGGTAGGGAGTGGTGGAACATCAATCTGCCCACGAGTGTACATACCTAGCGAACATAATAATCATAATTTTGCCCATGCCATAGGTACCTAATCATTTACATATATCAAACGAACAAAAAAAAATGAATTTGATTATTTTGCAGAGCACAAAATTGTTTGAAGGACAAGGTTTTACAGGCATAAATAATTATGTAAAACAGTGAAATCCAGCAATGCCGAAGCAATTAACACGCAATATAAGCATAATAGCACGCAATATAAGCAATATAAGCAGAATAAACTCATCAATTAATAGATAAGAATGAATGAAAAATATTATATCAAATAAGCATGTCAGATATCAACAATCAAACACTAGATAACTAAAGCCAGATATTTCGAGTTGAGTTTACAATTCAAATTACATCATACTCCTTGTCCTGGCGCTCATATGCAACTTTATGTTGTTGCTTTTACCTGAAAGCAGAGCAAGTGAAAAGATATATTCACTTGGATCCTTGCTTATGACAAAAAGATAGAAAAACGTGTCGCTGAAAAATATTTAGATACACTACACTTTAGACACTATACGCCTTGGCTTCTCCAAAGAGGAATATGTGCAAAGCGAATTGATATCCATTTTTGACGTTTATCCCGCAGCTTAGACAATAACAAAATATGGTAGCGAACGGAAAGTATTACTCTATTTGCCTTCAGAAAATTCCTAATTTTTCCTTTAAAGTCAACTGCTTTTTAAGGTAATGCAATTGCATTTCAAATCAATAATTAATTCCATGCTCTTTAAAAAAAATTCTGATATGAGCTATTGTTACTAGCCAAAAAATGCTCAATTTTGAAATGATTAGCTTCGGTTTGCCTTCAAAACGATGAAGGAATTGTTGTGCTGTTTCTGCAAGCTGATAGTCATGGAGAATCCGCCGGTGAATCAAGATGAGCTTGGTATGTTTTTTGACCTTATATTGCAATATTTACTAAATTTATGCATTCTGGCACAACGACATGATAACATTCATTAGTTGTACCTCACCAGATCATATATTGGCGTGTTACTAATGTCTTTTGATGCTGGAGACGTTATTGACGCGGCCTAGACCATCAATCTCCATAACATTTTGTGGAATATTCTATTTTATTCTAATGCAAGGCTACGCGTCCTATTCCAACAACAACAACAACAACAATTTATTCTAATGCACGATTATTTCAATTGCACGGTGTTGATTTGATATGGATTATTTTCATGAAATCCAGTTGCAAAATACTTTGTTGGTTTTTTAAGTCTGGCTAAGTAGGCTTGGACACTTATTTTGCCCCTTTGCAAATCAAATTTAGCCTTGTATTTATTGAATTACCTATTTTAGACAAGCTGCATTTTTCTATTGATTGATTCCAACAATGTGTTGATTAATTCAAACTAACAGAAAGCAACCCATTGCTTCCAAAGCCTAACATACACCAGTCACGAATAAATTGCGCCCAAATCAAAATTTAGAGTTCTGCTTATTGAATCGAGATTCATGGTTGTTTAAGCTATAAAAGCAAATGTCTAGGTCTATGCTGTAGCCCACTCTTTTTCTAAACATATAAAAACTCATGTTCTTCTGCATCAGTTTGATTTCACTTGAGTCAATCTAGTCTGTTTATCATAGCTTGATTAAAATTGATTTAGACATTTTTGCCTTCTTTTTTTCAGTCAAAGTGTATTTTTATTCTTGCTTTACCATATACAAGTGAGGATAAATAACAGATAGATTAATTTGTTTTGTTTCAGCTCTGGTGGAGCGGGTGTTTCTGCGCATTGGGTCAGCAGAAACTGATGAACAATTGCAAAATGCCCTTACCAAATTTTTGCCACCAGTTCTGCTCAAGTTATCCAGCACACAGGAAGGAGTTAGGAAAAAGGTTTGATTTTTTATATGATAATATTGTGCTAAAAAGTTCAAAGGGTACAGTACTAGCTTGAATTGTGTCCTGTTTAACAGACAAAATATTAGTTTAGGATTGATAACAATTAAGATTTGATGTTTTGCAGGATCATATCTGAATGAACCACTACTTTCTCTTAGCTTCTTTTTTAATTGTGATTGTCATAGTGTGTAAACAAGTTTAATTACTAAGAAATGATCTATGTTAATGATGGTGACTCAAATGTGACTCACATATGTTACATGTGTGTACATATGCTAGCTGTGACCAGAGGGTTCTTGAACAGGTGATGGAGCTGCTGGTTCATGTCAACAAGCGCCTCAAGAGCCGTCCAGTCGTCCAGCTTCCAGTGGAAACTCTGCTGCTGCAGTATCAGGATCCAGCTGCCTCTAGCTTCCTAAAGGTGATTTCTGCTGGTGCTGGTAACTGATCACTCTGTATCAGGGTGAGGAGAGATGCTTGCCAAAAATCACTTGATACCTAGGACTTAGGAGGCTTGGGCAAAGAAGCCTTAATTTTGATGCTGGAAAAGATTCATTGGAAAAGCCAATCCAGCTAGAAATTACTAGATTCATTCAGTAATTCCTAATTACTCCATGAATCTAATTTCATTCATTAATTTCTTTGAAACCATGGGGCCTTGGGTACCATGCCAAATTCTCAGCATCCATGGACCATGAAGATCTCAGTAAAACATTGTTGCTGCCAGGGTACAGTGGTAACTCAATCAAAAGCCCCACAATGTAGGGACACATAGGCTTAACTATCAGTGACTAGTGAGTCCACACAATATTATTTATATTATTTATGCAAACTGTTTTCTTACAAGGACCCTTTCCCAACTTCATGGAAAAGGCTTGACTGGGCAAGTTCCCTACCAAAGCCCTTGATTCCCTTCCTCCTGGTTGGTTCTTCTTTTCTCTGGTTATGTCAAAATTCAGATAGGTAATATTGTTTGCTTTACATGTCAAACATAGCTCATCTGTACTCAATGTTTGACTTATTGGTGTGTTTCAGAACTTTACTGTGATTTATGTGAAAATGGGTTTCCCAAGACTGGAGCCAGCCAAGCAGGCTGAACTGGCAATACCTCTACTGCTGAGCATAGAGGACAGTCCTACTTCACATCAGGACTCGTAAGTCCAATTACCAGTGCCTAGTTACCTACCTCTGCTAGTCCAGGAGTAACACTAGAGGGATGGGATGATTTTTCTCACACCCCACTAACCAAACTTCTTTGCCTATACAGTGACAAGTGGTTCATGGTGTTCCTAGAAATTTGAGTCATTTTTAGGCCTGACAAAAAGTTGTCAAAGGTCATCAGACATTTGTTTTATATAAGAAATTTACTCTTTGCCTGATAAAGTCATAGACCCACATCACAGAAAAGTTCTCAATAGCTCATCAAAATCTCAATCCGTAAGTTATCTTGAGTCACCTAAGGTCAACAGGTTTTCCCCAGGATGGCAGAAACAACCATGTACATTGTACCTTGCACCTACACACACATGTGTCTACACACTGTCCCAGTCTATTTTTATCGTCTCACCGACTTGTTTATGCCGCTCTGACGTCGTGCTCGCCCGCGCGCCTGTCCTGGCCACTGGCTGCAGGTTGCTGTCGCTGGTGACCAGCGTGCTGGCCACCGCCGATCTGAGCAACGAGCGGGGCCGCGCCGACATCGACAAGCTGAAGGAGAAGCCAGCCGTGCTCACCCTCCTGCTGGACTTTATCCTGGACCTGCTGCTGCTGCCTTACGGGTGAATACCGTCAGCTGTGCGCGCCAGCTGCCGCTCCGTGGCGTTCTCCGGTAGCGGAGCTCAGTAGGTCGCAGGACGATAAATTGTGTATTTCAAGACCTTTCTTTGATACGGGTGCTGGTCAGTACAACAATTTCATAGACTCTTGTCGGAAGAGTGTTGATCAGTACTGAGTCGATGTCCCTCCCGTCTCTGACCGCTGCCTGTTCGCAGCGTGACGTGGCCGCCGCCGGCCGCTCAGGGCGGGGAGGCGGCGCCGCCGGTGCCGCCGCCCGGTCTGTCGGAGAAGGCGGTGCGCCGCGCGCTGGGCGACCAGCCGCCGCCGCCCGAGCGGCTGGAGCGGCTCAAGGCGGGCCTGGTGCGCTTCCTGTCGCTGGGCCAGCTGCCGGCCGGCCGGGTGGCGCCCCATCTGCTGGTGGCCATGGCCGACACGCGGTTCACAGTGGCCAATCTGGCCGACATGGAGCTCAGGCGGCTCTGGTGAGTGACTGTTTGTGGGGGGAGTGGGAGTGCGGATATGAGTGAGGCGGTGTGTCGGTGTAGGAGTTCGCATGTGAGGAACTGCTCTTTTTAGTCGATTTAAGACGGTGTAAGTCATTTGTGGACCTTGAAACGTTCAATTTAGGAAGCGTACACGTTTGATGCTGAAATACAAAAGATGATAATGCCTTGATGATACCGGAATTATTCGCCCTGTCTTCTTTCGAGTGTTGTTTTATCTGTACGTCATACGTGTCCTGCCGCAGTAACCTGGACTGGGAGGATCCGGCGCTTATCAGTCAGCTCTGCTCCCTCTATCTGGGCACGCTGGTCAACAAGAACACACCGCCGTCGGGCCCCGCGGCGCCGCCTCAGGAGCAGCGCCGCCAGCCGGTCGGCACGCGCATCCGACTGAAGCTGCTGCCCTACCTGTGCCGCTCAAAGACGGCGGCCACCATGTTCCCGCAGTCGGTCCAGGTAGGCAATGTAGGCATTCACATCGGACGGCGGGCGGGCTGAACGGGCTGATGATATAATTCTACAACACTTGGCCAGATTGTAAATGGTTGTCAATGTTTGAGGTGATACCTTTCTGCATTTGAATCCCTCTGGTATGTCCTGCGCCCATCTCCATAGAGTGGTCGTCGTGATTCATTATTATTCCCGCGTGCTTACATGTGGTTGTGTTTTTTAGCAGATTATTTCTCACGTTCCTACTCGTTTCTTTTCAGGTGATGTTTGACAGTTTCTACGGCACAAATACAAATCCCAAACTGAAGCTGCAGGCCCTTCAGTTCATAATACAGATAATCCAACAGTGAGTGTCACCTTTTATGTGTCTCAGATGCTCGCAAACCGGCTCTTATACGCTAGATAAACTACGTCGCTTATTCGAGAAACGTAGACTACCTATTGCATGGCTTCTCTTGACTTTCTCGCCCGTCGCTGAAACTGGTCCGAGTCGTCCGAACAAGTCCCTCGCTGGAAGTGTAATCTCTGACGCTGTCCCGTATGCGCCGGCAGCTCGACGGAGTCCCGTCTGGCGCCGCTGGGCCCCATGGTGCTGGGCGTGCTCCACAGTGTGCTGGCAGAGGAGAAGACGGACCAGCGGCTGCGCTCCACGGCCTACACGGCCATCGGGCGGCTCGGACAGAAGCTGCCGGCCGTCATCTCGCGCGACCTGAATGTGGTCCGGGTGCTGTTCGACGCGCTGGAGCAGGTGAGATGGCCGGCTCACGTCTGAAACAGTTACCCACCCATCGTCCGTCCATCCGGGGACCGGCGTGTGAAGGGATAGAAGGGCGTATACAGAGACATGAGATCTGGCGATACTGGTCATGGCCTCACTGCAACTATCTAATGAACACCTCGTACCAAATCGTCACTCACGTGTCGGCATGTTGTGCCTGATATGGCGACTCGGGTGTCATCGGGCGATGTGCCGCTCCCATCGCAGTGTGTTTGACACGCCCCACCCGTTTCCTGTGACTCTGCAGGAGGAGTCGGAGACGGGTCAGTTTGTGCAGGACACGCTGCAGCTGCTGGGGCCGTCGCTGCGCCGGCTGGACGACGCCCAGCAGACGGTCATGGAGGCGCTGCTGGGCAGCTGCCTGGAGCGGCCCAGCGCGCGCGCCCGCCAGGTGGCCGTCCAGTACGCGGCCGTCGTGTTCCCAGAGAGCCACGCCGTGTCCCGGCTGCAGCTGCTGCTGGCCACCGCCGACAGGTGAGTCCGGCCGGGGGCTAAATAACTGCAAGCCGGTGGCTGGCTGTAGTTTTTTTTATCTTTATTTAAGTTTTACTTGGGTATAGATGTGACTATATGGACTGATGCCAGCTGCGTGGTGAAGCTGTGGTATTGTTCTTAGTTTTCTGTCAACCTTTTGGTTTTAGCCAGGAGGAAGTTGCTGCCGAGGCCCTAAAACATCTCAAATTGGACGGGAAGGATGTCCAGGACAGCTCGAAAGCTCGCGAATTCCCGGACTTTGCGCAGATGATCACCTGCATTACTAGGAAGATCAGCGAACGCGAGTCCAAGAAGCAGACCACTACGGTGGGAAACAACGTGCTGCCGTTCCCGCCCACTGCCTTTGCCATGGTGAGTGCAGACTGAGCTCGGCAGTCATCACTTTTGTAGATCGGGCCGGCAAGCGCAAGCATTTTGGACCCGAGTAGCAGTTATGTGTCCACGGTGTATTCGGGCTTCAGTGACAGTCATTGCTTTCAAAAACGTGCTGTTCCTTTCCTCAAAAGCTGTCTGTGCTTGACACGAGCGGTGCTGGCCGTCAGTGACGGTTGCTCTTTGACACGGTCCGCACCGCTGGCCTTATGACTCGCCTGTCCGTAAATGACGCGCCCATCCCACTCTCCCCGCAGATGATCCGGTACCTGAGCCTGTGCCTGCAGCACCAGGCGGCTCCTGACCGACCCGTCAGCACGGAGCTGGTCCGCGGCCGCGCCGCCGGTCTGGGCGCGGCGCTCCAGTCGCCGGCGCTCGCCGCGCCAGTCGAGACGTTCCTGACGCTGACGATACGTCTGCTGCGCGCCAGTGTGGCAGACGCGCCGCTGTTCTGTCTGCTGGAGACGGTGGCGGCGGCGCCCGGCCGGCTGGCGCCGCTGCTAGCCGACCAGCTCGACTGGCTCAAGGTAAGACGAGAACCGGCTGAGTTTTTAACTCCATACTCCATTGTGATGCTGGCACCTACGAAAACCTGGTTATCTCACTGTATGGTGGTTTTGAACAAAAGACAAGCGATTTTTCTTCTTCTTATGAAAGGTTGGCCATGGTACTGAAGACGTCCCGCTACTATTTCATTTTGGTTTATCTTTGTGTAGTTAGCTTAGTTTACTGGCTCCTGGGCGGCTCAATATCAGATGAAATCTGATAGCCGAAGCGAGTTCTCTCCCACAGCCTCTGTTCCCCTCAGACGCTGGTGTCGTACCCGCGGGAGACGGTGCGCGGCCACGCGGCGGAGCTGTACGGCGTGGTAGCTGCCGCCATCCAGGACGACAAGCAGTTCGGGGAGAGCCTTCGGCTAATGCACCAGCTGGCCACCAGCAAGGTGGGGCACGGCGCCGCCGCTGGAGACGGGGGAGGGTAGTACGGTGACGAGGGGGACTGACCAACGGTAATGGGGGAAACACGGGGAGAGCTGCATTGCTAGCGGGGAGATAATCGTGCCACGGATACGGGGTGAATGTTCTTATGGTGAAAGTGGCGATGTTCAAGCAGGATTACGCTGGGAAGACAAACATCTTCGAACTTTGAGCGGCCTGTGCTGACCGGTCTGTTATTGCTTGGTGACTGGGTGTGTCTGAGTCAGTGTATCTGTCACATAATTGTCAGCTCTGTCTGTTTGTCCACCTAGGTGTTGGAGCAGCAGCACGGCGGTACGCTCGGCCTGGCTCAGTGTCTGGGTGGGTATGGGTTGGGTTCCACTGTCTGTCACCAAGTCTGTCTGCCTGCCTGTCACTCCCAGGTGCTGGAAGAACAGCACGGTGGTATGCTCGGCCTGGCGCAGTGTCTGGCCCGCCGCGCCAGGGAGAATCGCCCGCCCCAGCGGACTGACGAGGTCGTCATCCAGCTGACCGCCGACCTGTGTAAGTTACCACCTCCGCCCACCGCGCCGCACGGAGCAGGCTGTCACTTCCGCTCGGTACACACTAAACGTGGCTACATCTTTTGATTTTGAATATACTGCCGAGTGCCGATGCAGCCACAAATTAATTGTGATATGTGAATGTGTAGATAGTTCTGAGCTGGATAAGTTCGCATGTGAGCCGCTTCGTTTCAGTCGGGCCGCTCTTCGCCGTCTCTCCCCGGAGTTAGTAGAGGCGGTTGCGTTGGTAACTCCTGTATTTCAAGCAAAATATTTTTCTAAGAGCTCACGCGCGAACCTCATTGATATAAATGCTGCGGATCACAGCTCGGCAACCTCTTCTTGGCTTTTGTAGCCAAGAATTTATTCCCAGCCCGACAACTAGTGAGGTCACAGTGTGCTGCTGAATTAGGTATCTGTCACTGCAGTAATATCTGTGCCCGTACCATGTGGCAGCTTTGTACGTCTGTACACCCCCGCTTTACGCCACTGACGCCCTGCGTCCCCGTCCTCTGGACCGCAGTGTCTCACCTGGAGTCGAGCCAGCTGGCGCTGCAGGCCGCCTGTCTGAGCTCTGTCTCCGAGCTGGGCAGGACCGGGCCGCTGCCGGTGGCCGCCGGGCCGGCCGACCAGCGCAGCCCGCCGTCACTGCACTACGTGGTCACCACGCTGCTGAACACGGCCACCAGCAAAAAGCTGCCCTCCAAGGTAGGACGTACAGCCCGCTCCAATCAGCATACACCAGAATATGTACCGGTAACCAGATGGCTGATTTTTTTTTTACCTGAATTGTAACATCATGTTCTGTCACCAACCTATCTCAAACTAAGCGTTCTGGCAGTTGATATTTACAGAAGTACAAAGTAAGCTTCAGTCCATAGCAAAATCCAAATGTTCAGGTTTTTACAGGTAATGCGCCTCGATTGGCTGACGTTGCGTTGTGTAACCGTCCGTCTTTCTTGACAGATGCGTGAGCGTGCCATAGTCGCCTGCGGCCTGGTCTGTGTGGGCGACCCCGGCCTGGCCTTCCGCCGGGAAATAGTGGAACACTTTCTGTCGGTCTCCAGCGAGGTGAGACTCAGCACCGGACCGGAGTTGGGGAGACGCAGGGCTGCTGAATATTCACTTCCCCAAGCACGACTCATGCCGTTAGGTGATGTGCATAATGTAACGATCGATTTGTTGAATTTGAACTCATGTGAGCTTTTTGTAGCTTGGATCTGCTGTTCACCAGCTTTTCTAGCTATCCGCTGTGTCCCGGCGGTCCGCTCTGCCCCTGATAATCATTGTGTTCCTAACAGTTCTGCTCTCATGCCCCTGACCTTTGCCCTCGGTCCGCTGTGTCCCTTACGATCCCCGTATGTCCGCCGTACCGCTGAGGCGCCGACTATCCCCGGCCCTCCGTGCCGCCAGCTGGACGAGCTGGAGCTGCAGATGGCCGTCGGCGAGGCGCTGGTGGGCGCCGTGCTGGGGCCCCAGTCGCCGGAGGCGGCCGACCCGTGGTGGCCCGCCGAGCCCGGCCAGACGCCGCCGGAGCAGCCGGCCGGCGCCGAGCCGCACCGGCCCGAGCAGCTGCTCACCTGGCTGCTGCGCCAGCTGCTCGAGAACCAGCTGACACAGGTGAGCGTCCCAACTGATACAGGTAACTGTCCCAGCAGTTACGGAGTTCTTCATTGGCAGTAGCTGATTACGTGGTCTTTTTCTGAAGAAAAAAGAAATGAAGAATGCCACCCCATGCTGAAATTGCAAGGTATCATAGGTACCGCGAAGTGCGTATTGCTTACTGCTTAGTGCTTACTACATAGAATCATGCTGCGGCATTTGTGTACCATTCCTCCGAGACCTGACTCCGTTTTGTGTATCGCAGACACACCCGAAGGTGCGTCAGTCGGCCGCCGTCTGGCTACTAGCCCTGGTGAAGCACTGCCAGCATCTGCAGCGGCTCAAGGACAAGCTGGCCGACATCCAGGCGGCATTCATGGAGCTGCTCGCATCGGGAAATGGTACGTTTTGAGTGAGGGTCGACCGTGGTGTATTGATGCCGATTTTTTTTCGATTTTTTTTTTTCGAAATTGTCCTTCCTTTGTGAACTGACTGCAGGTTTGGTAGGCATTCGTGATTCTCAGGTGCAGCTTAAGTTTCGAGTGTCTTCAGTCTTGCTATACGTTCGCGCTTGTCTGCCGTTGTTATTATGAGCCACCTTCGTCTCCCACCCGCTCACTGAGTCCTTTGCTGGGCAGACCTGGTGCAGGAGGCGGCCTCCAAGGGCCTGGCGCTGGTGTACGACTCTGGGGACGAGCAGCAGCGGGCGACTCTGGTGGACGGCCTGGTGGGCGCGCTGACCGGCTCCGCCGCACGGCCCGCCACCCAGAAGGTCACCGCAGACACCAAGCTGTTCGCTCAGGGAGAGCTCGGCAAGGACCCCTCAGGGTGAGACAAAGGGCGCGGCCGTGACAGGGTTGGGAGTCTGTTTGTGGTAGGCTGTGAGTAGGTCCAATGTCCATGTGAGTAGGACTCGTCGTTGCTGCGGCCGCCGCCCGAAAGTGTGTGATGTCGCCATGTCTTGATAGCAGTTACTGATTTCGTCCAACACCAACTGTCTCGCTGCCGCAGGGGCCAACTGTCCACCTACAAGGAGCTGTGCTCGCTGGCCTCCGACCTGAACCAGCCCGACCTCATCTACAAGTTTATGACGCTGGTCAACCACAACGCGGCGTGGAACTCGCGGCGCGGCGCGGCGTTCGGCTTCTCCTCTATCGCCTCCAAGGCGGGCGAGGCGCTGACGCCGCACCTAGCCAACATCGTGCCAAAACTGTATCGGTACGTACTGGGCGCTGGGAGCGCTGGCTACACGGGTCGCCCTTCGACCCTTTTCACGCTCACGGTACGGGTAGACCCTGACCTCCGCTGTCCTGAAGAGCATGCATTGCATATTGTAACTAGGAGTCTCGCTGTCGGATCCTATTTTTCGATTACGCTCAACCACCTGTAAGAATCAGTCTAGCCAGTGCCTAACGGACATTTCAGATAATATGCTTGAAGTACTGTAGTACAATGTCCTACTGTGTTTTCTCTAAAATATTCCCGAGTTATTCGTTCACCACACTGTGGGTACCGGGGCAGTTCGTGTCCGTTTTACGTGTTGCTGACCAGTGACCAGACCAGTGTTACCAACCAACCACTGACCAGTGCCCCGTCCCCGTCAGGTACCAGTTCGACCCGAAGCCGCAGGTGCAGCAGACGATGCGCTCAATCTGGTCCTCGATCGTTCCCGAGTCGACCAAGACGGTTCAGCTGTATCTGCCCCAGATTATGGACGAGGTCAGTCATGTTCCGTGTATGACAAGTGCTAGCCGCCTCGTGGACGGCCTGTGGCGGGTGGTGTTTGCTGACTCCCCTATTCACCTGTGCTAGGTGCTGGCCGGTCTGACCGCTGACGGCCTGTCATGACGGTTGATGCCTGCTAAGTCCCCTGTTAATCTGCATGTAGCAGGTGCTGATTCTTCGGGCGAACGGTCCGTATCAGTATAGTCGGGGTGTTGCTTGTTAACTTTCCTGTCATTCTGTAGGTGCTGGCCGATCTGACGGACGCCGGCCTGTGGCGGATGGTGTAGGGTAACTCCCCTGTCATTCTACAGGTGCTGGCCCGCCTGACGGACGGCCTGTTTAGCGGGTAGTGTTGGGTAACTCCCCTGTCGTTCTACAGGTGCTGGCCCGCCTGACGGACGGCCTGTGGCGGGTGCGCGAGTCGTGCTGCGCCGCGCTGGCCGAGCTGCTCTGCGGCGCTGGTCTGGACCCCGTGCTGCCGCGGCTGCCGGAGATGTGGAGCACACTGTTCAGGGTGCGAGACGACATCAAGGAGTCGGTCCGGCTGGCCGCCAACAAGACGCTGGAGGTCCTCAGCAGGGTGAGTGACGCGGGATGGGGAGCCGAGCGGAGGCTCTGCTGTGCGGGGACAAACCATTGCTAATACCTTCGGTGGCAAGTGACGAATGGATTTTGATGGATACAGTCCGACGCGTCCGTAGTGAAACGCTTTCTGCGTAAGTCGTTCGTCGTCAGGAGGACATGAGTCTTGTGTTGGTAACGCGTGTGTTGACCGGAGCCTGAGATGTGCGTGCTCTTTTGGCAGGTGTGTGTGCGCCTCTGCGAGCAGCAGGAGTCGGTGAAGACTAGCGAGCAGACACTGACGCTTGTCCTACCGGTGCTCCTGGAGACGGGGCTGGCCTCCACCGTCAGAGAAGTGCGGGCCATCAGGTAAGGCCATGCCATTTAGAATGTGCTCACTCGAGCCGTGTAAGCTTGTGAGGTCTACCTGTCGTAGGTAGCAAGATCTCTGTTGGCATGAAAAAGGGTATCCGCCTCCGGTCCATGCAAAAAAATGGGCCTAAGCCTTATTGCTTCTCTTTATCTGATAAAGGGACAATCCCATTCCGCCTCGGTATCTAACAAGCTGGTCAGTTCGCTCCGGAGTGCCGGGATATTATTAGTATTCACTCGTGGTGTCGTTGTGGATATGGTTAACTCCCGCAAGTCTGGTGTGATTCATACCGCGACTGCTGCCGGCCGCGGGAGACGGGCTTCTCCGGGAAATGTGCGACTCCCGGAACGGACTATGATCCGAACATGTTCCGGGTATGATCCGTCGCACCCAAGGACGGCGGGACCGGTGTGTACTGTTGCTGCCGGCCGTGTTCCAAGCGAACATGAAGTAGACGATGGGATGATTGGTGATGTATTTGTGGAAATTCCATTCGCCCTTCGGACGAATGCAAATTAAAACAGTTAACATTTTGTTTCCCCTTTCCTTGTTTTATATCGATATGGAGCCCCTAAACGGACGGAAGTTTAAATATTGGTGACTTGGGTCTGGATAGTGGATAGCATGCTTTGATTGCCTATTGCCCATTACCAGTCAAACTTTCGCCCCCAACCCATCAAGTCTTATTGTGTCCTGACGCTTTTAACGTGTGCACCGATTAACGTTGGAGGCTGCTTGGTAAAAAAGTAATTTTCGATGTTGAACGGCCTGATTGTCGATTGCGTGAAAATTAACATTTTTACTCGTATTGTACGTCAAAAAAGTTTACTATTGAACTTGACGCTGTGATAAATATCACAAATGAGATGCAATGAAGCCGTTATTAAGATACTATTGTCCGGTGCCAAAAGTGTTTATTTGTACTTAATTATCAGCGATTTCGTACTAGACACCTATGGGGGCCTGCTGGGCACTCATTGGGGCTTCAGATGAAGCGAATGGGGGTAAAAACATCACAAACAATCAAATCACAAACAATCAAAGCACCGCACTGAGCTGGCTGAGGATCCAGTCGATGTAGGCCGACACCTTGGTGTAGAGTCCGGGGAACTCGGGGTTGCCGCAGCCGACGCCCGTGGAGACCACGCCCACCAGCTGGTAGGTGTCGTCCGCCAGACGCACCATCAGCGGGCCGCCCGAGTCGCCGCGGCACGCGTCGCGCGGCTCGCCGTCCCGGCTCTCGGCGCACACCTTGGTGCCCTGGAAACCTCCCGGGAAGCGACTGTCGAACTGCGGCACGCGCCGATAGGCGGTCTCACAGACGGACGGGTCGGCCACGCGCAGGGCCACCTCCTGCAGAATGTCCGAAGTGTTCCCACCGAACTCGAGCAGGCCCCAGCCGGCCATTTCCACGTGTCGTCCGACGTGGTCGGCGCCGGCCGGCGGCAGGCAGATGGGCGACACGTCCCTGGTGACAGTGACGGGAGCCGCCAGCCGCACCACGGCCAGGTCGTTCTGCGCGCCCACGTACTGCGGGTGGCGCACGATGCCGGAGACGTTCCGCTGCTGGTGCTCCACCTCGTCCAGCCGGTTCAGGTCGTTGTCGCCGATGCGCGCGCCCACGGTGCCGGCTTCCTCTGGTCGCAGGCAGTGGGCGGCCGTGAGCACGTGGCGGTCGGTGATGAGGGTGCCGCCGCAGAACCAGCCGCCCAGACCGGCGTCCGTCCATCGGCCGAACAGCACCATCCACGGCCACTTGCCCACAATGGCGTTGATGCCTCCCACGGCTGCCTGGATCGGTGGCTCGGTGGAGAGCTCTGCGACTAGTTGCGGTATCGGTCTAGCCATCTCGAAGTCAAAGGTCGGCGTGTTTGCGCTGCGTTTAAGCCTGATGAATCGGACGGTCTCTCGGGGCAGACCGCACTGTTCTGGCAGCGGTGACGGCGGCTCCGGGACGGGCGGCTCGGGCATAGGTCCTCCTGTGACCGGTCCTGTGACCTCCGGACCTCCCGAGATCTGCCACGGAATCGCCACCTGATCGGCCGGGCAGCAAACGCGGGAAGCCATGCCGGAAAAGCCGCAGATCTGCGGCGGGTGCCTCGACAGATCCTCCCTCGTTTTGTACAGCGCGCACTGACGAATATTGACGCACTTTTTGCTGGTATCACCACACAATTTCCTCACAGACGGCGTGAACATCAGCTCGGAGCCTGAACTCGCACCAATGACTGCGGCGATGGCCGCTAAATAGCACCACTGGTCGCGCACCATAGTGACAGCGTGGCCTCCCGGCAGCCCGCCTCAGCACACCCGGTCCCCCGCGCTCTGTGGCACACACTGAGCGCCGGCTCGGCCACCCCCGGCCAGCGTACAAATGCCTATGTAAATTAGGTTCGCGGCTCCAGCCACTTGCGGCCGCCGTCCGGCCGCGGAGTTTGCGCAGTCGACACGTGAAGAGGTTACATATAAACAGTGCCGGATTTCGGTCCGTGCGGCCTCAGTCTCCACTGCCTGCACGGATCTGTTCACCGAGCTGTCATCTGCGCAGCCGTAATGTTTGCACGGCTCGCAGAATCTGCTCGGCCTCGACTGTGACTCCGCCGCTGACCCAGAACATTATTTTAGCCCTAGTGGTACCTCGATGTTTTTTTTTTGTGAAAATAAGGCTAGGAAAAATAGGTCAAGCAGCAATGTATCCTCAAAGTTCATTGTTCGTGAAATTTAGTTCTTAAATTACAAAGTTTTATGTAAAGTCTTAATGTATTTGCCCCGGCTCTGATCGTCTCACTGGGCAATCAACGCTGTCGCCGCGATAAAGCAGCGCCCTTTGCGCCAGCACCCTTTTTCGCCCTTTGTTTTGTAGCACGTTTAGTTCCTATTCTTATGTTCAACATATTAGATGGCACGTTGCGTCAAAGATCGATCGCCTTTAAAGGGACTATCCCACCTTTAACATGGGGTTTGAGTTGAGATAGCCAAGTTTGCGGCGAGGTTCAGAAACCACTATCTATCTAGGTTGCAACCCCCGTGGCCTCTTGGAATTCACCTGACAAAGTATCATCACGTGAATCGCGAAAAAAATTGTCGATTATCATACAATTATCAATCGGTTAATGTCTAGCGACAATGTTTACACATCACTAGACTTCAAGGTCATAAGATTATTACATTTTATTTGAAAAAGTAAGGTATTTTATGATTTACTAATATATGATTTCATAAGAAATTGGCCATGTTTAATTTATTTTGCATTAAGTTCGTAAAACATTTAAAAATCATGGCTCATTTGGAATGGGTCTGGCCCATGTTAAACCCCATTTCCCACACTTTTTGGAAAAAATGAACTACTGAATATATAAGTTTAACTTTTATTTTGACACTCCAAAATTCTTCTCTGATCTCGAAACAATCAAAGTTTTGACATATATTTACCAAAAGATAAGAAAATTCATGTTTCAAAGTTATCGATAAACAGTAGAGATGTCGGTTTTCTTGGACTAAAAAAATGGCATCAAACTGAACTTTGGTCTCCGATTTCTCGCAAACGGGTTCGAATTTCGGAAAACCGACTTCAGTCTGGGACATAGGTGGCTCAGCTCTAGTGAAAACCGTTTTGTGGAAAAAAGGTGGCAGTCTACCTTTAAATGGGTTTGTTCGTTGAAAAATCGCTTAAAACTTGGTCTGAACTTTCTTGTGGTGCCTACAGAGTAAAAAGAATCAGCTTTATGACAATAATGTGGCCTGGGGAAGGAGGTACTTTTGGACTGTAACGTCACATATTTGAAAGTTTGTGTTTGAAATATGGGAAGCCTAAGATGTTTAATGAAAAATAAATGCCAGAACCGTGTTCCTGGTCATCCAATCTATAAAGTCGGGCACAATTTAACTGGTTTTAACAACATTTTAGAAGGTGGGATAGTCCCTTTAAAATAGTCAAAGATTTTCACCTTAAATGTTAAATCCTCTCACATACTATGCCTCAGTTGAAGGGCCATTGGTTTTATGGCAGCACCCTTCATTATTTGCAACACACCTACTCTTGTAATGCGTGATGCCGAACGTTGCAGCAAAGCACGACCCACATCCGTCCAGCCGCCTTTCTTACCGTTTTTGGCGATTACAATCGTCGACCAGGCCGAGCCGACGGCAGTTACATGATCGTGACGACAGGTGCAGCTATCGGACTTCCCGCAGCGCGGGCGCCGAACACAGAAGCGCTCCTTTGGCGCTGGTCGGTCATGCGCAGGAGATTGTCAGTCCGTGGGGAATGCCACTTTAGCTCCGCCTCGACGAACGGGAACAAAAGCCGCTGCTCGGTCTGTGCTTGTCTTATGGATTTTACAACTACATGTTAACATGTATATGGACGTTCACTAATCACTGATCCTCACGGAATCTGAAGACACGGTGCAGCATTCACGACGTATCAGATTCGGGTCGAGTTGTTCATCTTTCACTAAATTTGTTCAAGGGAGTTTGATATGGTAAGCTTTATTTTGTGTTTGTGACTCGGGGTTATTTGTGACTGCACTGGCATTTTCACAGCCGCAAAAGATGGGGTTTGATCGGAACCTCCCCTCCCCCCCCCCACACACACACCCGCAGCCGTTCGTTCCCTGATCAAGCTGGAGCTTCACGGAAAAACCAAGCATCTTGCTTTTGACGAGAGGAAGCCGATGATGCCCAATTTTAAGGTCCTAGGTCATCGGATTACCGTTCATGTCAGTTCAATGACCCGAATGTCGTGAAAATTGGGACCTGATAGAATATTTTGAAATAATATTGTTCGCAGTCTTTAACCTCCCCCAGCCCCTTCCCCGTAGGTGCGAGAGTTTAGTCAATTGGAGGGAGTTCAACGTTGTCTCTTTTTGCTCACCCTAAATCTTCGGAACTGCTACGACATCTTAAGTTGGGTCGTAGATATATGGCCTTGGGTCGTAGGATAAATCCTAGGACTTTTGACATGAATACCAAATTATCTTAAGTTTGTCAACGTGAATTAGAAGTATCCTAAATATCCAGACTGATCGTACGATAAAAAGTTAAGATGGTCAACATGAATACCAAATCGATCGTACGATGAAAACTGATCGTAAGATGTCGACGTGAATACGGGCCCAGGGGAAGAGCAAAGTATGTCAATCACCCATTGAACATGAACTTTGTAGAACTTTCAATGCCACTTTCGATGGTCTTTAATAACATGACCGAAGGACGTCTTCAAACTATGTTTGCTTTTCTGTCTGCCACCTCAGACGCATCTTTCACTTGGTCGCGTCCCATCGTGTCAATTACGTTTTCTTTTTATATTTCATTTAGCTAGTCCAACATTCAGACAGACAGCAGTGAGCAGACAGCCATTAGTTACGGAGCTCATACGCACCTCGGGCTTCACAGATAATTTATTGGGCAACACCAGGCTATCATCAGTGAAGCTATCGTTGCTGGAGCTTGGTGAGACCTACCTAGCTAAGCGGGGTTTACAGCAATTCATTATTCGGATACTTGAAATAACTAGAAATAATTATTTACGACCTGGCGTACACGATTTACGTTACCCGACGAACTTTTCCAAATGATGTGATGAAACGTCTTGTAAAAATGATCAGTTGTCAGCATTGTGCACAAAAGAAGGCGAGAAGAGCGCCAGATGCGTTCTTTTCGCTCCGGGTCATGTGAGCTGGCTGAAGATCCAGTCGATGTAGGCCGACACCTTGGTGTACAGTCCGGGGAACTCGGGGTTGCCGCAGCCGACGCCGGTGGAGACCACACCCACCAGCTGGTAGGTGTCGTTCTCTAGACGCACCATCAGCGGGCCGCCCGAGTCGCCGCGGCACGCGTCGCGCGGCTCGCCGTCTCGGCTCTCGGCGCACACCTTGGTGCCCTGGAAACCTCCCGGGAAGCGACTGTCGAACTGCGGCACGCGCCGGTAGGCGGTCTCACAGACGGATGGGTCGGCCACGCGCAGGGCCACCTCCTGCAGAATGTCCGAAGTGTTCCCACCGAACTCGAGCAGGCCCCAGCCGGCCATTTCCACGTGTCGTCCGACGTGGTCGGCGCCGGCCGGCGGCAGACAGATGGGCGACACGTCCCTGGTGACAGTGACGGGAGCCGCCAGCCGCACCACGGCCAGGTCGTTCTGCGCGCCCACGTACTGCGGGTGGCGCACGATGCCGGAGACGTTCCGCTGCTGGTGCTCCACCTCGTCCAGCCGGTTCAGGTCGTTGTCGCCGATGCGCGCGCCCACGGTGCCGGCTTCCTCTGGTCGCAGGCAGTGGGCGGCCGTGAGCACGTGGCGGTCGGTGATGAGGGTGCCGCCGCAGAACCAGCCGCCCAGACCGGCGTCTGTCCACCGGCCGAACAGCACCATCCACGGCCACTTGCCCACAATGGCGTTGATGCCTCCCACGGCGCCAGCGGCTAAGTCGCTGTCTGTAGGAGAGCCTGGCGCTGGATTCTGGAAAGGCGCCTGGAAAGGGGTCTGGCGTTTGAACCTTCGTCGAACAGTTGGTCGTGGCTTTCCGCACTCTCCTACTGGTAAAACCGGTGTAGGCACGCCTGTCAAGGGGCCCGCGTCGCAGCACACGCGGGGCACCAGGGCGGAGAACCCGCACGGCCGCGGCCGGTGTCTGTGAATCTGCTCCGCCGTCTGGAAGGCGGCGCACTGGTGGATGACGGTGCAGCTCTGGTTGGGGGCGCAGGACGTATGGACGCCGATGGCCAACTGCCAGGAGAGCGCGGCGCACACCACCGTGGTGTGCAGGGCGATTGAGCCGAGTCTCGCCATGGTGGTGTCGACAGGGAGCTGCGCCGACCGCCGTCCAACTGGCCCTCCCGGCCTGCACTGAGCTGGCTGGCGCGCCGCATTTCGCTAATCATCGACCATGCACTCGGCGGGCACTACATGGGACCGGTTTTGGATACCGTGGAGTACCGCAGTTGTCGTGCACTGCATAGGTACAGTAGTTCGGTACCGCGCCACCGGCATCGCGTGTCAGTACCAAACAGAATCTATTAATAGCACCACGGAATGGACTGGTCCGAACAAACGAGCCTCGTGCATATTGTTTAGAAAAGTTAAGATAATCCAGCTTGTTTCTGGTGCATTATGACGTTGCATTCACGGAATTGCTCAATGGGCTCTTGGTCGGCTGCATGTTTACAATATGTGAAACCCATCTCGTGTGGACCTCCGGGCTCCGGGCTTCGACAGCTTGTGAATTGGACATCGACGTCACGACTCGATTGTTTAATGAGAACAAAAAAGTAACTACACGAAGACGCTAACTTGAAGTTGTAAAAAAGTTCTGGGGATGTTGCGGAGATTCCTGTACTATCGCGTGCTTGTGTGTTGTGTAGCTGTTCTGTCTAAGCGTTATAATGCCTTTTTATTATTCAATTAAGACAAAAGACGCATCCATCATTGCCTGAGGACGGAGGAGTACCGCGACTGAGTCTGAGAGCAGCGTACCATTGGCGTACATACCTCACCAGACTGCCGTCCCCCGGGTCGCCGTTTGTGCGGACTGTCTGACGGAGCCCCTGTGTCCGGCAGCCTGTCGACGGTGGTGCGCCTGTCGCGGTCGGCCGGCGCGCGGCTGCGGCCCCACCTGCGCCTGCTGGTGCCGGCGCTGCTGGAGGCGCTCTCGACGCTCGAGTCGGCCACGGTGCGGCACATCAGCGTGGCCGTGGGCCACCAGGCCGACACGCAGGAGGCGGTCGACCGCGCCCGGCTCGCCGCCACCAAGGACTCGCTCATGTTCAAGACGCTGTGCCAGGTGCGTGTCGACCGGTCGGGAGGAGAGCAGCGGCAGCAGGGGCAGCTCAGCTCTGTGACGGGCTCTGACGGGTGTGCAGCTGCATGATTGGTAACATTTGACTGGCGTCTGCTTTGTAACGCTGGAAAAGTAAGCTACGAACATACTTATACTTGTTTCGGGGGAACACACTAATTGGGAGACCGGGACATGACGGCCGCAGTGACCGTATCTGACGTTCCGTAGTGAGTGCCGCCCCTGACGTGCCGGTTTGAGCCGTCGCTGACGTGCCGGTAGCGCGTGTCGTGACGTGCCGGTGATTTGTGCCGCAGTGCATCCAGTACGTGGACGCCGCGGAGGCCGCCGAGATCGTGCCGCGTCTCTCTGAGCTGATGAAGCGCAACACCGGCCTGGGAACTAAGTGCGGCGTGGCGCTGTTCGCCACCCGGCTGGCCGCCGAGAGGCCGCTGGCGCTCCAGAACACGGCAGGTCAGTGTAATAGAACACGGCGGGTCAGTGTAACAGAACACGGCAGGTCAGTGTAACTGAACACGGTTAGGTAGGTCGGTGTAATAAAACACGGCAGGTCAGTGTAACAGAATAGTGAACACGGCAGCTCGGTGTACCGTAACGCGGCATGTTAGTGTTACTAAACACTGAGCACGGCAGGTCAGCTGTGCTGCGAAACACGGCAGGTCAATACTACGGAGATCCTGCAGAACGCAACCTTGACCATCCGTGTCTGTAGCAGAAAATGTGGCACTGCTGAGCTGTTCTAATTCCAACTATCCGACGTGTCTGTGACAGAGAAGGTAGTTAATAAGTGCCGACTCTGACCGCCCGTGTCCGCGACAGGGAAGGTGCTCTCGGTGCTGGTGACCGGCATGCAGGACAGGAACGTAACGGTGCGCCGCTGCTCGGCGGCCGCCTGCGGTAACGTCTGCCGCGCCGCCAAAGCCTCCTCGGTGGAGAAGCTCATCGCCAAACTGCGCACCTGGTACATGGAGGGCGAAGGTAGGCATACGCACTTGCTGGGAGGAGCGCGCTCTGTTTTAGTGAGGCAGGTGACGGACATATGGCTAATTGCCTGGCCACGTCAAGCTTCCGTAACATCGAGGCCTCGTTCGTAAATTACAGTCTGCGACTGACTACAGCGCTCTGGAACTGCAGTCAGTCATTCAGTCAATGTGTGATATGGTAGATACTTGCTGAAGCCATCCGAGCTGATGTTCACACGGCTAGTTACTCCGACATTAGCAGTCACTCGTTCCAGTTTCAGCGTTTCAGATGAGAGCCTGATCGCGGTCTGTGCTGAGGCGTCAGACCATTGAGTCAGGTCATTCTGCTGCGGTGTTTCAGATGAGAGTCTGCGCCCGGTCTGCGCCGAGGCGCTACAGTCGCTCAGTCAGCACGGCTCGGCCCAGCTCAAAGAGCACGCCGCAGACGCCGCCAGTCTCGCCTTCTTCGCCATGCACCGACAAAAGACGACGGGTGAGTTTGACGAACCGTCTGACATAATCGGATTGTTATGCGATATGCGAATGTTTACCTATTTTAATTAGTGTCTCGTTAACGTATCTTACAACCGTGCCCATTCGATGGTGTGTGAAGCTGGTGATAGGTGTTTGCTGTGTGCCGTCGTCGTGTGGTGGGTGCCGTTGGCAAATATCCGACCGGAGCCGGTCGCCGAGGTCGGCCGCTGTTTGGAACCCTGTGGATGGAGCTGTGACCGATACTGTTCCGTGACTGACGGTGCCGTCCCCCGGCAGAGACGGAGGCCGAGATCGCCCGCTGGCAGGAGGTGTGGAATGAGCTGTCTCCCGGCACCGAGGGCGGCCTGCGGCTCTACCTGAGCGACATCGTGCCGCTGTGCCGCGCCGCGCTGGCCGGCCAGTCGTGGCCGATGAAGGCGCAGGCGGCCGGCGCGCTGGGCGCTGCCGCCGCCCGGCTGTCGGCCGGCCTGCCCGCCGACCAGCTGCACGCCGTGCTGGACGCCCTGCTGACCGCGCTGCCCGGACGCACCTGGGACGGCAAGCACGCGCTGCTGGCCGCCCTGGCCGACGTGTGTCAGAACTGCGCGGCCGCCGTGCCCGACCGGGACCGGCTGGCCGACGCCGTGCTGGCCGAGGCGGCCCGCGACAAGCCCGAGTACAAGGTGCACGCGGTGGTGGCGGCCGGCCGCGTGCTGCGGGACCTGCAGCTGGACAGGTTCGGCCGGCTGCTGCAGATCGTGGAGCCCTACCTACAGGTGGGTGGGCCGGCTAACGGGGATGTGAGGAAGCGACCCAGTGACGGCGGGAGTCGATGGATGGTCTGTGAGCGTCTCATACTTTGGATGGTGGAGAGAGGCCCACTTCTTGCGACCATTTGAAAACATCTAAATGCTTTAGTTTGTGCGTTGTTCCTCATCAGGCTGCAAGCTCGGTACCGTAGGTCAGACCCACGCCCGAAGTGTATGAGAGATGTGAATCGCACTTTGTCACCGACAGGCCGAGTCCAAGTCTGGTGATGGCAGCGGCGACGAGGACGAGATGGGCGCTGCCACCCGGCTCCAGCTGCAGGAGGCCGCCTACACGGCGCTGGGACGCGCCTGGCCCGCCGACGCCGCCACTCAGGGTACGGAGTGACTGTAACTCTCCCTACACGGCCTGAATCGTCGACGCCGCTACACATGAAACGGAACGACCGCTCGGAGCTTACTAGTTACTACCGTCCGCGCCGTTGAATTACTGCCTGACCCAGGTTGTCTGAACCCCTTGACTGCCTGTCTGAATCCGCCAACTGTGTCTGAATTTGCTGTCTGAATGTGCTGTAGCTTCCGTGTAGGCCTACCGTGGCCTGTAGGCCTACCGTGGATGGTTCTGCTGCCGGTCATCTGTCATGTCGTGTCCGAGTCTGCCGACTGTCATCGCCTGAGCCCGCCAACTGCCTCGAGTCCCGCGACCCTCACTGTTAAATTCCCCGCCGAGTGTGTCCCCACTTGACCTCGCCATCCCTGACTTTTTCAGCCGAGTTCTGGCCGCGCTACATGGCGTTACTGGCGGCGGCCATGCCCCGCTCGACACGCGCGCACCAGCTGTCCATCGTGACGTCACTGCGCGCGGTGGTCGACCGCCTTTGGCTGCTGAGGACGCCGAGCGCTGAGCACGACCAGAGTGCGCTGACTGAGGCGGCCAACCAGCTGGGCGCCGTCCTGGCGCTGGCGCTGGGTGAGTGACGCGGCGCGAGCTCCGAGTGGGGATCGGGGAAGGGGAGGGTTGGCGAGTGTGGCGAATCCTTGTGGCTAAATGACATTATTTAAGTGTGGATATTGTTGAAATTCAGGGTAGAGCTACTCGTTGGTTTCTGATGTAGAGCTACTCGCTGACTTCTCGCTGAGCGCTGATTTCTGTTCTGCAGAGACGCCCAAGTATCCGAGTCTGCGGCGCGAGGCGGTGGCTGTGACGCTGGCGGTGCTGCGCGCGGTCGGCGAGCTGCGCGACACGCGCCGGTTCCCCGTGCTGGCGGCGGCCGGCGCGCTCAGCGTCCGACTCACGCCGGCGCTGCAGGCCGCCGCAGACGACGCCAGCCACGACATCCGCGACGACGCGGCCGACGCGGCGCGCCTGCTGACCAAACTGGCGCAGTGAGCCGCCGCTGCCGCCGTGTCGGCCCCGTCCGCCACACTCACTACCGTCCGAGTCTGTTCGGGTGTGCGCTGTGGATGACTGCCGAGATGACGAGCTAGCTAAGATGACGGGAAAGCTGAGGTGCTCATTGATTGGTATTTTGATGGTGAATTGAATTAATATACTTACTGTGACCGATCAGACCTCGTTTCCGATATGGGACACAGTCGCTGGAACTGAAAGTCCGCTCAGCTACTGGCCGGTTGGGTGGTCGCCGGGACATCGTGCAGTGCTGCACTGCGCTGAACTACAAGTCTTGCTTCGGTCGAGTGAGCTTCCGCACAGCCTCTGAAAATCACATGGCTTTGGGGACTGCCGCTTCCTGACACCCTCCGGCTCCGACGCATTTGCATGAGGGGACAGCGTTTTTTATGGTGCGGTAAAGTTGCCGGCTGTCCTCAGACGAGCTCGTCATATTATCAGAGCACGCTGTAATCCCATTTGTGTTCGCTGGCGGCCTGGTTACGGTCTCCTTGCACCCGCCTGGCGACTGTCCGTTCTCGGGGGTCGACGAACTCGCCCGCCCTCCGGCGGCTGGGATGCATCTCGGCTTGTGACGTAGCCGCATTCAAGGCTGGCGAAGCGAGCGGTTCGCTTTGCGAGAAACCAGCTAAAATGACGTCATAGTTTGAAAAAATGTTTGAATTTGGAAAAAAATACAGTGAGCAGGAGTGACATATTTTCGTTTCCTTTGTTCAAATTCAGTCACTTTTTATTGGATCAAAACATAACAAAAGTTAACCCTCCCGACAAGCGAGAACACAAATGAGACACAGGATGGACACAGGTATTTATCAGCTGATTGGCTCTGAATCTGTGACGTCAATATTTAACTTGTTTCATTCACTTTGTTTTGAATGCAATAAAATAAAACAAAATTCGTTTCGATCGCGGCAGTTGTCGGCGGACGGACTGGACGGACGCGGCGGTGCGTTTATTAGGTGAGTTTGATGCCGATTTGTTGAATAATATTATCCATCGCATCCCTGATAACGTTCTCGTAAAACAGTTGTAGGAACTTTTGGTTTCATGGCAAAGGAAAACTGGATTTTGAGATGTATTATGAACGGTTGCCACGTCAACATCAACATGTTTCAGCTCAAGCTTGGGATACAAAATCAAAATGTGTCAATCCTGATGAATTTTCTTCTAGTGTCTTTGGTACCTTGCTTCAAATTATATGTAACTGGGTAAGCATTGATGAGTATCGTTAAATAGTTAATTATTGGAGAAAATTGCATTTTGTACATTTAACTATTGACATGTTCACAAATATTACACAGTATCGCAAAAGGCAGAATTTGTTGATTTGGGTGGGAAACAACACCCAAATGAAAAAATTCACTCTCACGTCCAATGTCAAGAGCAATTTTTCACTCCCAATTCAGTAAAAAGTTGATGACCCCAGTTGGCAACCTTAAGAAAGAAAAAAAACCTGCTTGGAGGGTCGTTTTACATTCTGCATCCTACCACACATATGGAGCTATGGTATTGATCCTTTTTCCACTCAGAATTTTCCATTCCCATACCATTTTTGGGAAGGGATTTTAATTTTCCCTTTGACACCCAAGCCAGGATCGGAATACATTTTGGGACACTGATTTTGCATGCCCATTGCCTAGGCATAAAAAAGGTTATCAAATATAAGCAGTCCTAGGTTCTCTATGATCTTCTAGCAGATCCAATGGAGTACTTTAAGGCTTATAATATGTACATACCTACTACTGTGCCTAGTGACCTATAACCCAAAGACAAGTTGATGGCATTTGGTAATTTTGTGTGTTTACACTACAGATAGTTATCTACCTACCATTAATCATACTGATATAAGATTTTTGATACTTTGTAATTTTTATGGTTCATTTATTCTAATTCAGGATGCATTCATGCATTACTGTGGCTTGGCTCAATTGTTTTTTTTTTTTGCAGAGAAAATTTGTAGCTTGATTTCAAAGGTTTATCAGGCCTGCTAGAATTGAAGGTTGATCAGGAATGGTTTGATTCACAGGCAGACATCAGAAGGGTCTGGAGTAAATTTTGTTACTAAGACTTTGATTGCAATCATACAATGATAGAAAAGTGAAATTTATCTGCAAGTAAAAACTGTAGACTTGTTACTATGCATGCACAAGGGCTGATTTGCAGAAGTTCTTTTTTTTGGCTGGACAGCATATTTACCTAGTGAGCTGTCCAGTGTCCTTTAGGCTGCAAGCCCACCTACTAGACTGCACTTAAGCTGTTAAATTGATGTGGCTGAGGTTTTGGGCTAGACTTTTCACAGGATCGATCAATTTTTTCTCCTAGCTCATGGTCATGGGGGATGCTGTGCCCAGATGTTTTGTAGTAAGATTGCTGGATTCTGCTGGATGATGGATAAGGATAAGGGTGGATGGGACTTGGTAGGAAAGCTGAACTAGGGAATAGGGATGGTCCACTCTGTTAGTAGAACTCAGGCAGGTGTGGTGGGATGAGGGGCCTTCCCTCCCTGTAGGCAATTACTGGACATTGGTCACACAGGAAATGATGGGGGGGGAGGAGCCTGCCTTTCTGCAGGCTCACCACTGAACAGAGGCTTGGGAGCAGTAAAGAGATCACTGACCAGTCTTCAGGTTAGGCTAGCTAAGGGATATCGTGGGTAGGACTGTGCTCTGTGGAGAGGTACTGTACTGTGTACGCTCATGGGACATTCTTCAGTTTCAGGCTGGGGCGGCGATTGTGGGGCTGCCCTGTTTATCTCTACAGTATCACTGGCTTGTGTGGGACATAAGCTGTTCTGCTCTGTATGCTCACTGGGCAGTTTCGGGAAGTAGGCTGCAGCTCTGCCCCTCTGCTGCACAGTGCACTATTCAGGCAGGGAGGGGAAGTTGGGACATTTTACCCTGCAGAGTGCAGACTGGGCTGGGCGGTGCCGCTGAATGCGGACGGGGTGCCAGTACGGCTCCGACGGCGGCGCGGTGCTCTGCCAGTCTGTCAGTATGTCAGTGTGTCCGGCCGCCGCCCGGTGGGCCGGTGTGTACCGCCCGGCCGTCTCCCCGCCGTCCGCTGTGTGTCCCGCTGACAGCGCGCCCCTGCCCACAGCGGCCGACCGGGGGGACATGCTGCCGACCGAGGGACTGGTGCAGTCGGCCGCCGCCGCCGAGCCCGCCAAAGGATTCATCGAGTACTACGTCTCCAACGTCAAGGTCAGTTGCCCTTTCCAACCTGTAACGATCGTGCCCGTAAAAATTTTCTGGCGCCATTTCGAAAAAAAGAATTCGTGGAATCGTGACTGGGGGACATATTAAGTGTTTTTTTTATGGACATGTGGGGCATTGACCTCTCATTTATATTTAGTGTGCATTCAAGACTGATCAAATATGTTGTGTGTGTGCTATCACGAGGTGGGCTCTGCAAACGTCATCAAGCATTAAAAATCGTTCGGAGCATCGTCAACTTAGTTTGGGGGCGAGTGCCGGCCAGGTTTGCGTTACTGGTCCTGCTAAAACACACAGCTGTGTGTTCATTATTCACGGTGCACGTTGAGCGCCACGTTGCTGTTTTATCCGCCCCGTCACCGGTGGTGTGGCTGCTGGCCGATTATTTCCGGTGTGCGACTGCGGACAGCAGCACGGCTGGCGGCAGGGCTGCCACGTCATCGTGTTCCGGTCTGTTATAGCGACCTCATCTGACTCCGGACGGTCGGCCGCGCCACGTCAGTCGGCCGTCCGTCCCTCTGCGACTGACACAGTGGGCCACCTGTGCTCTGAGCTCTCTGACCGGAACCCCCCCCCCCCCCGCCGACAGATGGACGTCACTACCATGACTTACGCGGCGTTCATGGCGCTCTCGGTGGCGTGCTTCGTGCTGCTCCACCTGGCGCGTCACACCAAGGCGCAACTGACGGCCGCCAGCAACCCGCACTTTGTCCAGTTCCAGCGGCAGTTTTTCGCCGTCTACTTTCTGGCGCTGTTCTCCGACTGGCTGCAGGGCCCGTACGTGTACAAGCTGTACAGCCACTATGGGTTTGCCGAGTACCAGATCGCCGTCATCTACGTGGTGGGGTTCGCGGCGTCGGTGGTGTTTGGTACGGCCACGGGGCCGCTGGCCGACCGCTTCGGCCGCAAGAAGACGTGCATCGCGTTCAGCGTGGCCTACTCGCTGTGCTGCCTGACCAAGCTGAGCCGCACGTACGCGGTGCTGCTGCTGGGCCGCGTGTTTGGCGGCATCGCCACCTCGATGCTGTTCTCGACGTTTGAGTCGTGGTACGTGTACGAGCACGTGGAGACGCACGACTTTCCGGCCGAGTGGATCGCCGTGACGTTCAGCAAGGCCACCTTCTGGAACGGCATCCTGGCCATCGTGGCCGGCGTGGCCAGCAACATGGCCGCCGAGTGGCTGGGCTTCGGTCCGGTGGCGCCCTTCCTGATGGCCATCCCGTGTCTGGTGGCGTGTGGCGGCCTCGTGTCGGCACAGTGGCAGGAGAACTACGGCAACCAGCAGATCAACCTGCGGCGCAGCTACATCAACGGCCTGCGCACCATCCTGGCCAGCGAGGTGGTGGCGCTGCTCGGACTCATCCAGTCCCTCTTTGAGTCCGTCATGTACATGTTCGTGTTCCTGTGGACGCCCATTCTGGACCCGAGCCAGCCGCCGCTCGGCATGGTCTTCTCCTGCTTCATGGTGTGCATCATGATGGGCTCGTCGCTGAACACGCTGCTGATGGGCCGCGGCATGCGGCCCGAGCGCGTGCTCACGCTGGCCGTCGCCATCAACATCGTCTGCATGCTGGTGTGCACGGTGGCCACGGGGCCGGGCGCCGCCATGCCCGGACTGGCCTTCGCCGCCTTCCTCTTCCTGGAGGTGAGTCTGAGCCGAGCTGCCTTCCCGGGAGAGGCCCGCCAGTAACCCGCTGCTGGCACTAGTCCCTTCTCTCAGATGTGTCCGTTCCCGCCCATCCCATTTGACCTAGGTGCACCAGTCAGGCCTATAGGACAGAAGAAGATGACAGGCTTGTCACCGTCGGTCGGTCCCCACTCCCCACCTGAACCAGTTTGTCCCGTTACATCAGTCGGGTCATGACCCACGACGATGACCGTGTCTGTTCTCTGGCGTCCCGTTAGAGACCAAGCTGCACCCGGAATGTTTGCTGAACACCACGTGGGCTGCTCTGCCCGCCCTCATGTCCCGTATCAAACGATAGTGTGACATTGTATCCCGCTCTCTCTCTCCCGCTCTGACGATAAGAGAGACACGCCCTCCGTAATGACCACGATATCAGCCATATCGCTGGTCCGTCCAGTTTACACTGATAGGTGACGGTACGTACTACGTTATAGGTTCTCACTTCTCCAGCTCTCCGTGTGGACGCGTTCATCGAACAGTGTGCATGTGAATGTCGTCCCTGGGTTTAATCGTACGAACTGTGTATGTGACACGGCAAAATCGCCCTGTGAAGTTAAGGACAAATTACCTCAATAAGTTTTCACAGCCGTCCAGAGTAGCTAAAACAGTCGAGCGTTTCTCACAACCAAGATTTTGTCGGTAGGCAGTAGGCACCGTGTCTCGCCCGTTAGCTGGGCGCCGATGACCTCAGCTGCAGTCCGGGCGCAAACCCCAAATCACCATCCCCACCCGTGTGCTCACTGTGTCTGTGTGTGACCGGCGGGCGGCGGCTGACCGTTCCCCCTGTGCACCGGCAGCTGGCGGTCGGCATGTACTTCCCGTCGATGGGCTACCTGCGCAGCCAGGTGATCCCCGAGGAGCAGCGGGCCTCCATCATGAACTGGTTCCGCGTGCCCATGAACCTGATCACGTGCGGCGGCCTGCTGTGGCTGCACCAGGGCGAGTCGGCCGGCGGAAACCAGGTGAGTAGCCGCCGCGCGCGGCAGGGCCGCAGGGCGGGGCCGTGATAGCCAGCTGTTTGCTCTGAGACCCCTCCCTCCCCGTGGGGGCGGACATGTTCGTGCAGTGGACACCTGCTTTCTAGGCCCTAAGGTCGGGCAGCTGTTACAGGCTCTGAATGTTACATCGGATCGACATAATGACTATTATGTGCGATAATCCTTCCGTTTGGCATATTTCGCATGTTTAGTTTTTCGCGCTTGATCCGTGCCCAGGCTGACATTGATCCGCGGGGCCTAAGCTCCAATCTGGCGCATGGTTCCATCGATTTACGGGCCCGGTGCACGGCCGCTGGCCGCTGATGACCCTCAGACTAGGTCATCGAGCGGGGCAGGGTAGCGCCGAACGAACACTCTCGGCTCACGGTGACGCGGCCGGGATGATCGGTAGTAGCTCGACACGCTATTTGTTATGGGCGTATTTCAGCGGGAGGTGGGGTGGGGGATATACCATTTAAAGGAGCTGGCGCCCTTTTGGCTATTGTCATGGATACTTACAACGCAGTGATGTAATTTCCAGGCAGCTAGTGTATGTTCGAACTGTTATAGTTCGAAAGCGGCAGGACTGATTAATTCATATTGTAATTACGTCGTCCTTGACGGGATGAGCTTTTCCCTTGTGGTTTTATGTTGGGACTGCACCCTCCCCCCCCCCCCCCCCCGGATCCGCCCGCCAGTGATGGCCAGTTTTACGTTCGTTCATTCAGCGTACCCATGTCAGTTAATTGGTTACCCACCTAAAACAGCATATCAGTGCGTGCGTGTGTACGTACGTACACAGTCTCATTCTCAGCGTGTCCCAGACCCAGCCCTTCTTTCCGTGTCTCAGTGTGTCCCAGTACGTCTCTTAGTGTCCCATTTCCTCTCTCAGCGCGTTCCAGACCCCGGTTCGTCTCGGGTTGTGCCACTCCGTCTCTCACTGTTTTCCCCGCCCCGGCAGGTGATCTTCATGGCGTGCGCCGGCCTGCTGATGCTCGCACTGGTCGCCTGCCTGCGCTTCTCGCGCCGCTACCAGGAGACGCGTCTGCCAGAGAAGGACCTCACCGAGAGCAAGCCCAGCGCCCTCTGAGGCGCTCACCGGGCCGTGGCAGTTCACCGGTAACGCGTCAGTCAGGTCCGCTCGGGATCCAAGGCGGTCGCCAACATTTGGCTCAACAAATCCGGGGATTGCCGTGCCTATACAGATTTTTAGTCTATGAAACATTACATCGACCTTACGTCAAGTGCCTTGACAGAGAGCAGTTCTATTGGTGCGGTGCCGTCGCTACGTTCGTACATTCCAAGTTACTCGGCCAGTGCGGCTGCCCAGCCGTTGGCCCGGGATCCTGGTCGCCAGACGCGGCGATCGTGGTCCGGGCTGGACCACAGGCGGGGGTCTGTCGGCAGCGTCCGCCACTCTCGAGGGATCTCCCTCCGGGCCAGTGCCACGGGTCTCCGGTGTGCCTCAGTTTCCGTCCCTGCCGCCCTCAGCGGTACCGGGCCGTGCCAGCCGGCCCGGGCCAGTGCAGACGCGCACTACCGGCCGGGCCTCCAGTCGGGTCCTCTACATACTCCGCGAGTCCGCCGCCGAGACCCAGTCGGTTCCGCGCGGGCCGAGCGGCCAGCGCAGCTGTGCGTGTACATTCCAGTCTGTTCTAGTGTGTGTGGTGTGCCGCGATCCTGGGGTGACGCACACGGTTGTCGCCGAGGGTCGCCACGTCGGCTGCCGTTCGCCCTTTTGTTTCTTTGTTAGAGGATTGGCGATACCTGTCTCAGTAGGACTCTTTTTCGCATGCTACTTAGTTGTTACGTTTGTTGTTGACAGTGAGTAAATCCGTGCATTGTTGTTACCAGTTTTTTCTCACTAGCAGGGATGGTTATCTGGAACAGGGGTGTGCTTGCGTTTATAGTTTGCTGTTTTTGTATTGCTTCGTTAGACCGTGCTATCGAGTCTGCGTGTTTTGTTATTTTATTAGGGAATCGGAACCTATGCCAGTTTTTATTTGTCGACCCGGTTATGGCTTTGTTTTCTCGCTGCCTTTGCATCAATTGTGCTTGTTTTTGCACATTTAGTGGCTTGGCGTCTTTCAAATGTGTGGTGTCTTCAAACTGCGCTTCTGGCCTGTTCATTAGTGGCATTGTTTCCCGTGCGCGCTGAGCTCGTCCGTATCATTCTCACTGCTGTTGACTCCATAGCGGGCTGTCGGCGGCCGTGTCGGAGGTGTCGGCGCGGCCGCTGGGTCACCCCATAGGCACGGGCGGCGGCTACTGACGTTATCCGAGGTCCGTTCACTGTTCAGTGACCACTGCGGCCAGGGTCTGGGGCCGCGGGTGAAACACCAGCGAGGTGCTGTAGCGTCTCCAGTAGACGTTCGCACTACCCCCATCCGCCAGGGGAGGCCGGCCAGTACCGGGACCGGCCGCCGAGGCCCGCCCTCCACACCGTGTTACGTTCGTTGTTTGCTAATACATTTTATGGGTGAACTGAAGTAGGTTGCACCGATCCCGAGTCGCCCGTCCGCCGTCTGCACTCATCAGAAGCAGGTAGGCCTGCCATGCCCCCATGTTGAGTGATTAAATTCATCAATAATTGGCCAAGAAGGCAACCAGGAAAAAAGTCCGAAAACGCCAACCTGATTGTATTAACTTACCGGTGTCCAGTCGCAACATGACACGCATTACAGAGAGACTCGTCGATAACAGAAGTGTGCAAGTACTGGATAAGGCGCAACAACGAAGCACACTTGAATGCTCCTCGGTCGCCGGGCTGGCCGCCCGCGGCGACGCGAGGTGAGGCGAATGACGGGCAGCTGGAATGTTGGCCACCCCGGGCGGCAGGTGGCGCTGCGCCACCGCTCACACCAAAATAGGTGTCGCGGCAGTCACCACCGCCGCCCGGCCCTGTGGGGTGAGTGATTGCCCGAGGTCCGAGCCACCGATGGCGTCTACTTGTTCTGCGTCACCAGCTCCAGCAGCTTGTCAGCGTTGGCGCCCGAGAAGCTCGTGACCTGCAGAAAGGCAACGGTCAGCTTTGCTATCGTTTGCCTTGGCGAGGCGGTGACTAGAGGCAATGTGGTGGGAGGGTGACGGCGTCTAAGGTGCGAAAAAAACACGGCTTACTGCCAACAGCACTACGCTTGCACATGCAAATTACGTCTGGAGGTCAGAACACGATCCACGGTCAGGACTACATCAGGTTGTGCAGACCGAAAATGTGCCCTAAAACGTGCCGATGCAGCAACGCGACACCAGGAATACTTTATCCATGGCGACACTAGGCCGGCCACTCTGCACAAAGTGTTGCATCAACAAAGCGCTATGCTGATCAGAATGAATTTGCACAACAGATTCACAGCTTATTTATGAGATAAATCGAATGAAAAAGGATCGGATGAGGCGGACAGCCGGCGGGGGTCGTCTGAGCACGTCTGTATGCCGTCCCGCGATGCCGCGGTGTTGTTCGCTGACGGTGAACTACCTCTCAGAGGTTCGGGCTCGGTCAGCGGGCACACCCTGCCCAGCCATGGGCCGCCCCAATCACACCCCGGCCCACCGGCCAGTCAGCGGGTCGCTTATTGACCGCCGCCGCGTGGGCGACCAGCACTGTGTACCGAGCAGTTCCGGGGCGAGTGGGTGCCGGCTCCTGCGCGGAAACACGGCCCGCGAGCGGCCGGTCACACTCAGTGACCAAACACACGTGACGCCAGTCATGAAAGAGATTGTCGAATGGGCATTGGGCAAAGCAGATTGATGCGCGCATGTACAGAACATGCACGTTTTCAATATGTCCGATCGTCCACGGACCGTCATGACATGTACTGACCAAACGAACCCACACGGGGACGCATGGACGGGACATACCCGCTCTGATATTGGGACGGGACAATCGTGCTCTGCCCCCACGAACGGGACAGGCCCGCTTTGGCATTAGGACGGGACAGACAAGCCAGGGGGGTACGGAAGGGATCGACCCACTCTCTGCCCGTGCGAACGGGACAGGCCCGCTCTGATATTAGGACGGGACGGACCCACTGCTCTATAGACATAACGGCACGGACATACTAGACTGCAGCGCCCCGCCGCCAGCCGGCCGCGTCCGATATAAGTGACGTGCGTCCGTCTGCAGTGCACACTTCCCGCGCTGTTTGACCACCGCCACAGGTGTTTGTCCAGCCGTGTCCACTCATAGTGACTTCACCCGCAGCCATACGGGCCCCACCCGTCCATCCGTCCAGCCGGCCGGCAGACCCACCTTGGCGCCCTGTTTGATGAAGACGAAGGTGGGCATGCAGCTGATCTCGTACTCGGCCGCCAGGTCATCCAGCTCCTCGACGTCCACCTTCAGAAACACCACGTCCGTGTGCTCCTTGGCCATCGCCTGCCGGAGAGCCACACACGGTCAGTCACAGTCAGACAAACACAGTCAATCACAGACAGGAACACCACGTCCGTGTGCTCCTTGGCCATCGCCTGCCGGAGAGCCACACACGGTCAGTCACAGTAGAAACACCACGTCCGTGTGCTCCTTGGCCATCGCCTGCCCGACGGACACACACAGTCAGTCACAGTCAGAAACACCACGTCCGTGTGCTCCTTGGCCATCGCCTGCCGGAGAGCCACAGTCAGCCACAGTCAGTCACAGTCTGTCACATTCAGTCACAACTCACAGACAGCCACAGTCTGTCACACGCATTCCGTCACAGTCACACACACACACAGTCAGTCACAGTCTGTCACACACAGTCAGTTACAGTCAGACACACACAGTCAGTCACAGTCAGCCATATCACGTCAGAAACAGACGGTCGTCATGATGAAAGACAGGCGGTCAGGGTCAAAAGCGGTCCGCCACACCACACCAAACTAACGTCAGTTGGTTTTGTCCAAGGGCCTATATACCGTTTTATCACCTGTTTGGCACATATTAATTTGCAACAATGTAATAGCCATTTGTAGTTGGGATTGCTATTTCAAAATTTGTCCTTACACAATAAACTGCGTCATTATTTCATATCGCTTCAGCTCTTTCAGATACACGCGCACTTGCAGCGCCAACGTTCTTCAGCGAGCAGACGGCACGCGTCCAAACGCCGCGGCTCTTCCGCTCCGCCCCGCTGCAGCCGCAGCCAACACAAGACGCGATTGCGATTGTCCCAGCCGTCTATTTTTAGTCGCTCTGATAACCCCCACCGGCGCCAGTACCTAATCCTTTCCCGGCGTTCAAGCTCAAGAGCATGATTCAAAGTAGCGGTGCCGTCGCCGTGAGCCTAGAAAAAGCACACTTTGACGGAAGGCTGATCATCTTTCCCTTCGGGGCATTCCACGTCAAATCAAACACCGAAATCCGTCATCCCCTCCGATTTTTCTGAAAATTTGTAGGCAGACTGGGCATGGTTCAAAACTGAGTTACGTATAATATTTTCGAAATTTGATAACGTATCGCTGAGATATAGGTCATCGAATATAGCGAAAAATACCACACATCAATTTTTTAAATGGCTATAACTCTGGTTCCTTTTCTGTTATCAAAATGATATTAACAGGGTCTTATAGGCAATTGATAAGGCTTTGATTTTTAATTACCAGTATAGCGCCTTTTGGGGCGACTAACGGAGCGAGCGAGCGGGTGAGTCTTGCACGTGCGAAATTTCGAGGGGGTACCTCCAACTGACTTGTGCAGGGCACCCTACTGACTGGTCTCTAGCGATGTGCCAAATTTGGGCACAATCGGCCCAGCCGTTCTCGAGATCTGGAAGCGGCACCCTGCACGTGCGCACGTGCAAAATGGGTCCCAACTGACTTGTGCACGGCACCCTAGTAACCGGTCCCTAACTGTGTACCAAATTTGAGCGCAATCGGTCGAGCCGTTCTCGAGATCTGGAAACGACCCCTGCACGTGCGCACGTGCAGCGGCACCCCAACTCTGGCACATGGATATGCAGTGCCTAGTGGGTGCCTACCTACATGCCAACTTTCAGCGCAATCGGCCAAGTAGTTACCGAAATATTGCAACAATTACAAAAGTGACACCTCTTCGTTTTGCACGTGGCACGTGCATAAGGGGTCACCCACATGCATCGGGAATAGTCCAGTACTTGGTAGAAGGAATGAAGCTACCCTACAAAAATTACTGCGTGTAAATCGGTCAAGTGGTTGCTGAGATATAAGCCTCGCAAAAGCGTCCGCACGGCCGGCCGGCCGGCCGGCCGGCCGGCCGGCCGGCCGCTCATACTCAGAAATTTCCGTTATTCTACGAAAGACTCCGCTCGCTTCGCTCGCTCCGTAATAAAATTAAATTGAAGTGACATTGAAATGCATTTGACCTTGAATTAAAACAGAAAAATTTAAATAGCAAAAAACACGTCACCTTCGATTTGGGTAATTTTTACATATTATGTTCGTCATAATGTTCCTAACCATCTGTGAAAAAATTGGAGTGGGCCATTCATAACTTTCGCGGCAAACGCCGTTTTCATGCATCAACATCACGCAACCGCGCGTGACCTTGAAAGACAGAGTCAAGATATGCTTGCTTGTGTACACTTTCTGAAATGAATGTGATATCCCAAACTCTGCGAGAATGGAAATGCATAGTCATCGTAGTCAAGCATTCACGTTCCATAGTAAGTGTCTCAGGCAAACGGTATTTTGCGGTGAATTTTGAGCCGTGTGGAAATGCATCATGAAGTAAATTCAACGAAAACATTATCACGGAACGATATCCTCACGTCTTTTGATCTTCACTATACGAAAGAACATAACTTTTTAGTATGAATGGGGAATTTCTAGTTAATCCAATAATAAATATGGCAGTTAGAGGCCTGCTAAGAGTAACATGTCGCCGGCTGAGGCGGGCTCGGCCGGTGCGGGAAACGCAGCAATAACAATTTTGTGTTTACACGTTCATATTTTAATTGTTTACCAACTGATTTTCAAAATTCTTTCACCATAAGATTGCCTGTACATTTCTTAGTCTTCTCACAAAATTTGACGCGAATCGAACGTAATCAGCGGTAGGGAGCGCGATGTAAAGACGGAACCGTTCCGTCCCGTCCCGGCACAGTCTACAATTCAGGCGGCGCGTAGCGGTCGGCGCCGGCTGCCGAGTCGCCGCGTCGCTGCGGCGACAGGATGTTCACTTTACACCGCTATTACTAGAACAGTTGTGAACCGATTTTCTTATTGCTTGCACGATGAGATGTCCAATTCAATTCTTGACAGGTAGCCATAATTAATTTCGCATTAATCTTATGAGATATTGGCGAAAAACGGGAGGGGTGGGCGAAATTCGCTCTTCCCCCTCCACTGCGCGTGCTAACATACGTTTGCATATGTGCAATTTTCTTCAAAACTTATGAATGGCCCACTCTAATTTTTTCACAGGTTGTTAAGAATATGGTAGGCAATAAAATATATGAAAATGAGCCAAATCGAAGGTGACGTGTTTTTTGCTATTTCAATATTTGTGCTTAAGAACAGAGTTAAGCAAATTTCAAGGTCATATATTTAAGTAGGTGCAATTCTAAACAAATGCTTAAGAAATTACCTAAACAGTAAGGTTTATTTCATTCAAATCAAACAAGTACAACCAAAGTTATGGTCGTTCAAAAATATAAAGATGCAACATTTTGTAAAAATTTGATGCCCTATATTTAGAAGACCTGTGGTCAGAATGTGCAAAGAACATCAATGTAATGTCAGGGGCCACATAGGAACTCGCTCACAAATTTATAATGAAATCGCTGATGGTAAGGTGCAAAACAGCCGATTTTTGTTCGATTTGACGTGGAATGCCCCCTTCTGCTACGCATTAAGGCCGTATCGTGCAACTAGCGATAGCCGACGAGGGTGGTCGCCGGTCGGATAACCAATGCTGAACATTGGCATCCGGCGGGGAAGGGGCGGATACATTAGCCGGGAGAGGAGAGGAGAGGAGAGAAGAGGACCGGAGAGAAGAGGAGCGGAGAGGAGAGGGGAGAGGTGAAAGGAGCGGAGAGGAGAGAGGAGCAGATAAACGGAGAGCAGCGGAGAGCAGAGGACCCGAGAAGAGAGGAGAAAAGCCGTGAGAAAAGAGGAGAGATAGTTAGATGAGGGATGGCGGACGCCAAGCGACACTGGAACAGTGGAACACAAAAGACGGACGCTCGCAGAAATGGCGGACGGCGCGGAAGCGGGTCCGGTCGGAAGGAGAGACGATAGTGACGGCCAGCCGCACAAAGGTCGTCCCGGCACAGCGCAGCGGACGGGGTGCTGCCGGTAAACAGACCAGTGAGAGCCGGGAAATGGCGAGACGGAGACGGCGCTGCACGGCGCGGACAGAGCCCTTACAATCATTCAGCGAGACAAATCGAGCCCAGCCTTTGACATTTGCAGTGTATCATATTCAAACATTTGGCCGCAGGATAGCCGGTGGTTCCGGCCAGCGAGGCCCCAGCGGCGGTGTGGCCACGGACGCAGCCCTATCAGTCAGCGGTTCCGCCGCGACCGACACGCCGGCGCCTGCCGTGCCCCGTAAACCCAGCCCGGGGGCGGCAGAGGGCCGCAGTGTGGCCGACACGGGGCAGCCCCTGCTACCAGACGGACGGACAGAGGAGCGCTGGAGGTCAGACGGCGCGCCGCAGCTGCCGCACAGATCGCGCCGCTGCACCCGCCCGGCCGGACCACGCGGTACTGTGGCACACCGCACGGTCAGTCCACGCGCTACTGTGGCACACACGGCACTTCATGAGTTCAGCCCAGCTCTCGGCCGTCCACAACACGGCAGTCCCGGCACTCGGGCAGGAGCGCAGAACAAGCCTCTCACGTAGACCGCTCAGGTAACCATGTAGCTGCACTTTTGGCAGCCGCCTCACATTCGCAGTTGCCAAATGTGGCAGCCGCGCAATGGTAAAATGTGCCGCGGCCCAAGGATGACTCGGCAGTTACGTAACGAATACCCAACGAGCGGAGAGCTAAATCGATGGCACTTTATAAAACATCACTTATGGAATGTTGTTCAAGAGTGGCGCCCCCCAGACAGGACGGTGGCGGCTATCGGACCACGCCGGTCACTGCCGACCGTGTCCGGCCGGACGGTAAAACTGCCGAGTCATCTCGGCGGCCGCGTGACGTCACCCCCGGCAGCGGCGGCGTGTGGACGGGTCAGGCCCGCTCGCCGCCGACTGCTGGCAGTGGGTGTGGTCCAGTGCTCTGCAGCGCGGGCCGCCCCGGCTGGCCGGACTGCCGCGCAGGATCGGCCTGTCCGCGTGCACGGAACATAAATAAGCCACGCGGCAGGACACGGCCTACCTCAACAGACATTGTCTGTCTTGGTCATGGTCGTTGACAGCGTCATGCAACAGCAAACAACTCGGGATGCTGTTGAGCAGGGCCCGGAAC